ACGCAAAGAGCACCAATCTCTTCATAAAGGACTACTCCATGCCTTTTCCACCATGATTGGTGGTAATTGTCTGCAGCACCTTTCGTTAGCTCCATGTACTTCTTCTCAAAATCTAAACCATCAGTATGACCCTAGCGACCATCAAATAACTAGGCCGCCTTACCCACAGAAAGAAAAGCTCTTCCAACAGGTTCATTTGCTGTATCAAGGTTAAGATGGTAAAGTATGTAAGCTAAAGGACTCCTTGAATTTGAAACACCATATTTAATGCCTTGAAAGAAGTAACTCTTAGCAAATCCGTACCCGCCAACAAAAAACCGCAAGGCTGGTTGCTATTGCTCCAAGTTTAGTCGTGCTACTTCATTAGTTTTTTGGATTGAACCCAATATCTCTTTCAGAAGATTAGGCAACCATGCAAATAACCACAAGACACAAAGATACTTAAGAATTCCACATAAAACCTTTTTAAGAGCTGTTAGTAGGATTCATCCACCACCATAACCTCCCTCATCTTCAAGCCCAAAAAAAACATTATTCAGTTCCCCTCTAACATGCACAGGAACACCAGTGGATTGAGCCATTCGCATGGGAACCCCAGATACACCTAAAGACATCCCAAATTTTGCTAAAAGGCTATTGTTGCGACAGGTCTTAGCATTCTAACACCAGTAACAGGACTAGAACGATTGCCATTAGCAGACAGAGACGGAGCTGAACTTGGCAAAGTATTGCTTTAACTCAGATGCCCTCCAAAATGTGTAATCGCAGGAAAATTGGGCTCCAAAGCATTCAAGCCTCGAGTAACATGCTCCATAATGAAAGGCCTAAACAATGGGCAGGGTAACGAACCCCCTGCTGCAGGCCCTCCCTTTGGTGGCATTGTTGCTTGCAAGCGAGCATGGCCTCCAGCAAAGCAGTGCATAGCAACAGTAAACCTCTTATGATAAATGATACGAATCCAATCTAGGCCTCATAAGACCATAGAGACATTAATAGGTAGCAAAGAGCTGGGAACAATTCTTGAAACACATCTTCCAACAGCAGACAGTTGTTGCATTGTGAATATTGTGACTGCTAAGAGGAGTTGCCACGAAAGTTCCTGTTGAAGCTGCGGGAGATACCAACATCACAAAATTGGGTATAGATGAATTAGGGAGAAATCTCTGTGATGGCAAATAACTTCCTTGCTTTGAAATGGGAGAGGGATCAGTAGATACAGGACTAGAGATCCTAGCAGGAGGTATAGCAGCAGCCAGAGCCAACAAGGGTCCTATAGTTAACTTGATGCAATCCAAGAACAATGCAACATCACCTCTATTGATGACATTCTCCAAGAACTTGTCCCCAATCATTTGCGCCTTCAACCTTTTCATCCTATGATTATCACTGCCCCAATAGCTTCTTCCTCCTCCAGTATTGTGGTTGTCGTGATCCCTCCATGATTTCCCCGTGCATTGAGGTTAGAATCCCACCTTTCTTCCATCCATTTCACATGACCTGATCCCCATGGCTCGGCTCGACCCCCTCCATCTTCGATCGCCCACTCCCCTTACCCAAAATGCCTCTAATAGTGGTTGGTCACCCTACCACCCCACCACAAAATTCTCTCCTAGCTATCCCCCTATCCAGAAACCATGATCCACCCCTTATCAAAGCCCTAGTAGGTGGATCTTGATGAAAATAACTCTCTTTATCGAACTCTTCCCATATGATCTCTTTCCTTTTAGATTCGAACAAGGGAATCTCAATACAATATTTATTAGGGTTAGCAATTAGAACAGTCGGTGGGGTTTTGAATCACATCTCCATGAGCTTTCTCATCATCTGCTCCAGAATTTCCTTTCCCTTTTGTTCAACCCGAGGAATCGTCAATGAAGCCATCGACTACATCTCGATCATCTTCTAATTTGTATTATCACTTCAATAAGGGAACAAGATACAAATGATATATAATTATAGAGGTAATTTAGCTCTCCCAAACAACCTAGACGACGCTAGGAATCCCTCAAAGAAAACAACTATAGCAAAATATAAAACTTCACAATAAGATACCCTAAACCATAGACAAACCCCCTGATGTAGAACGAGCAGCAAGATTTGATGTACCGGAGCTTCTAGTCAGCAAGTGACGCCTTTCCTGAGGACTAGACAACAAGGATCTTGGCTGGAATTTTCTGGCCAGCAAGGGAAAAGCCATCTAGTAAGCAGGACAGCGAGTATTGGCGCTGAAATTTGAGGTCAGCAGAGAGAAATCTGCCTACAGGAATTATGGACAGCAAGGAGAAGCCACGAGACATTCAGGACAACACTTAATCTCCTTCGGGACATCAAAGGATTGGTTTTTGTATGCAGGACAACAAGCTTGCAATGTGAAAACCTGCAGGAATTGGTGTTGGGAGGGATGAAATAAGGGCTTGGTCAACTAGTTTAAGGGAAAGGAGATGGGGAAGTCGCCGGCAATAGGGAGGAGGGGAAAAAGGAATTTAATTCCAGTAAATTTGAATTTGAATAGGGAGGAAAACATATTCATAAGTCTGAAAATAATCTCAGCCTTAAGGGAACAAATTAATTGGGCTCTGATTGATTGATTTGAGGATCATTAATGGGCATAGGAATTAATGGGGAAGATTTGAATTGGGGAGAGAGGGTGTCTAGGTTCATTGAATGTGGAGAATTGAAGTAAATCTGAATTTATTTCAGATTGTGATAGATTGAATTGGTTTCCTAAGATGGAGTGAGTTATTTAGGGAAATAATTTGAAATTCAAAATGATTTGAATTTGAATTCAAAATTTTCCTAAATAAATAACACTATTTAGGAAAGTAATAAAATTAGGGTGTGGGGAATTGAATCAAATCTGAATTTATTTCAGATTGGAATAGATTGAAGTGGTTTCCTAAGATGGAATGAGTTATTTAGCGAAATAATTTGAAATTCAAAATGATTTGAATTTAAATTCAAAATCTTCCTAAATAAGTAACACTATTTTAGGAAAGTAGTAAAATTTGGGTGTGGGGAAGCGACTATGCTTGGTGGGAGCCGACGGTCTAAGGTGGAGGGGATCAATTTGGATTTTGGGTGGAGTAGGGGGAAGAGGCCGGCGGGTTTGTGTGTAGGAGGGGATGAAACCGAGGAATTGGAGAGAAGATCGACGTAGCGATTAGGAAAATCAAGAAGAAACAAAAACAAAGAAAAAAACGTGAGCTCGGACGTTTCCTACGATTGACGGGTGATACGTTGCCCTTCGCTAAGGGGCTTCAAGCCACGAGCCGGACATCATGCGGCAGGTGAAAACTACGATTCCCTCCCATAAGGATCTCACCAAAGTTCTCCCTAAAGAACAAGAGTGTAGTAAAATTTTTCTTAATAATCCATCATATCATTACACTAGCAAGGGCCTCCTCAAAAATAAAAGAAACTAAAATAAAACGATCATGCCCCTAGAGCTTACATAAGATTAGACCCTTAAGTAAGGGTAAAAATGAAAAATGCATAATTAAAATAAAAAAAAAAATTTTAAGATAACATAGGATGATCACGACCATCGATCTTCAGCTCCTCCTTGGATAGGCATGGACGGCTGGATGTCCGCATCACTCCTTAAATAGCCCTAGAACACTATAACAAAAATAGAACATTCCTAATCAGCATAAACATATATTAGGAAACCATCCTAAATAATTATGATCTTCCTAAATAATATAAACATGATTTAGAAAACCTTTCAAATTAAAACCTCCATAATTCAAAGTTAATTACTTAGGATTTAAATTCTAATAAAATAAAGAATTTAATATTTATAAAAATTAAGAAATTATTTCAAATGAAATCTATCTACTGTAATTTAAAATAAAATCTATCCACCCCATGCAACTGTATTTCAAGTGTGATAAATTTAAAAGTAATCTCAACTCATAAAGAGTAAATATCTTGCCACGTGTATTGCTAAAATTTATTCTCAAATAACCTTGAGCCAGTAGGAATGTGACGTGTCCACTAACTGGCGGTTTTGCCACCAAATCACATCACATATAAATGATTATGATTGAGACCCTCTGATCAAGCAGTTTGCGGTCGAAAGGCACAATTAAATTATGATTACAACCAGAGCACGCATTTTTATAATGGCTAAAAAAACTTCAGTAATAAATCATAGGATATACTTAATAGGGCACAAAAACCTTTGTTAGCTAGGGTCAACTCAAATTTACCCCTTTAGAAAAATACCCACCCCTGATCTACAACGTACCTTTGGATAAATAACCCATTGTTGTCGAAAAGATCCTTCGATCAGGTTGGATTGACTATGTCCTCTGACTACGTGGACTAAGAACGGTGATAATCCAAGATATGAGATTTTGATTGGGTTCTTCATCATTCCCCCACAATTCTCTTTAAGTACAAGATGGTCAATTTCAAATCATAAACGTCAAATATGATACTACTAAATACTAGGTATTTAATGTCTATCGAATAACTAGCCTAAATATAAAAATTTCTCCCACAACCGAGAATGATAATTAACCATAAGAGTTTGCGTCAATGAGAAATAAGAACTCATATATTAAGGTCCTCATAAAATGAGGTCAAAATATCTAGATAATGTCATATCTTAAATTGATATACTTTCTTAGAATTTGACTTGGATCAACTTCCTAACGTAGAGAGGTCGGACATGAATTTTTGCAACCCAAGATATGTAAAGAAGAGGAGGAGCCTCCAAGAAGACAAGGCCACTATAGAACAAGTAATAATGATAGAAGCGACCGAATGGGGGATTCAATCAAAATTTTAGGGGCAACTAATGCCAATTAAAAATAGCAAATTAGTAAATAATTAAGAAATATGTACTAAAAAATATATCAAACAGAGCAATTGAATAATCTTAAATTTTTTTCGAAACCTCTCAACAAATATTTGTAAAGCAATACAAAAGAGAAGATATCATGTATGTTAATACTAACAATAATAATATCCGCAAAAAACACTAAAGAGCTTACCTGTAAAATTCCCAGAAGCAAACGCACGTGATGCATCTCTGAAGCCAAAGCAAACACAACAAAATTTCAACATTGAGCAAAAAGATACAAAAATGTAATTACGAATGCTAAGAAGAAGCATCATCATGGTCATAACTCTAACTACATAAAAGCGTTACATTAAATAATTTAGCTGTTTCAACTAAAACAAATACCTAGGAAAATTTCAATTACCAAAAGATAGAGAAATCGAAAAAATGAATATACAATTATAATAACATTAAGATCATCAGAAGTTTATCATGCTTCACAATGTAGATCCATGCAGATCACTCAAGCATTTTTAACATGCGGTTGCTTTTTTCCCCCATAATGTTGACAATTTCATATAGCAATTCGTGAGAGACTACAAGCATATTTTAATAATAAGAACAAGAACAATGTTCTCTTTCCAACTGTTCATCCTACTTCAAGAGTTGCAAACTTGCAAACCCAAGAAAGGATAAATAATATAGACATCCTTGATAGTCATAACTCATAACCAAAAGTAAAATCAATCTCAGCGTATTCATTTTACGTTGATTGTTACATAAGAAACCAACCTTCCTGCAAAGTGATGGTAGCCACCTCCTGGCCCGTAATGCGACTTCCCTCTTGTCACATCAAACACAGAACTGCATTCCTAAGCAGACCCATCATTCTCAGAAATGAAAAAAAAAAAAAAGTTCGAGTAAGAAGAAGAGATCATAATTACCCAAGAATTCCTAATAATATCGGCAGTTTCTCATCAGTTCCATTGAAAGGAGCTAGTTCTTCCACCGTCCACAATCTCTGATCACCACAAAAGAAAATTAATTCAAGAAAATAAAAGTGCTTTTCCAAATTTCTAGTTCTTCAGAATCAAAGAAATAAACTTTTACCACAATCAATTCTATTATATACCGAGGCTTATGAAGCAAATCGAAAACCCCAGCGAGGGTTGGGGATTACCGGTTTGTCAGGCCTCAGGATAGAAGAGAAACGGAAAAGAAGAGCAGCAGCCACGGAAACAACAATGGCTAAACCGATGAACGAGGAAAATAGCCTTCTTTGCAACTCCATTCTTCGGTGCATCTCCTCCTCTCTTTCACCCGCGAGTTGAGATTGCTCGTAGTAGGAAGCCTTTTAAGATTCTTCGCGTCTTTGCTTTTCTCCCTCTCTCTTTTTTTTTCTCCTTTAAAGCCTGGAGCAATTGCATATTTGCATAAATGACCTTAATCTCTATCTAATTACTTATGTTACTGATTTGAAAAAAAAAATTACATGCATAACATTTTATACATTTATATAACTAATATTTTAAATTTTAATATTATATATATACCAACTCATATTATTTTAATATCAAATATGACACTCATATTTCATTCCCACCATCCATATATTTCATTCATACCACTAATATTTGATATGAAAATGAACTATGAGTGATATATATGTAATATTAATGTTTTTAGGCGTTAGATATGTAAATAGAATAGTATATAATAATATGCATGTAAAACCCAAAGAAGAGTAAGTCGCCAACTAATGAGTAGGATCTAGCTCAGCTAAATAAATGGCTCTTGAGTTGAACTGGATGAGCTAATGAGAAAAGTTTGAGTAACTCGACTTGTAAGCTCATGAGCCGGCTCGTTTACAAATATTAATATAAAATATACATAAAATATATCATTCAAAATTTTAAATACAAAATGCAAAAAAAATTTAAAAATCATATTCTAATTTATTATATTAAAAAATTATTTATTATTTTTTTTATAATATCTTTCTATTACCATTTTATTAATTTTTTAAATCATAACTATTTTCTCTCTTTCACAATAAAAGAGCTAGCTCGAACTTGTAGAATAAAACTTAAGCACGAGCTTAAACTTAATTAATTAATCAAGCTCAAGCTCAAGTTAGGAGTGACTTGAACTCGGCTCTACTCATTTACACCTCTAGACTAGATGATCATTAATTAATTTATTTTTTTTAAATTAGCTAGTTATTTTGAGATATTTTAAATATATATTTATCATTTTTATATTTAGTTTGATAAAAAAAATATATTAAGAGAGTAAAAATCAATCGAAGTTTGATTACGTAGATTGAGCTCAGCTCCAAAGTAATAATAAAATTTAATTCGGGTGAAGATAAAATTGAATGACTCGAAATTAAAATTGAGTAAAAAAAAAATCAGTATGAGATCACATAGTGAATAGAGTTAGTTCGAATTTGTATGCCCAATTACATTTCTCGAGTCCTCTATCGTTAATGCTTGCCCCATTACTCTGTTATGCATTTTACTTGGAAAAAAATATACAATTTTGAGTAATGCTATAATCCCCAAAGAAACTCCTAAGAGATTTGCTTCGTTTGGGACCGTTTTTTGTTGTTTCTGAATGTAGCTAAAAAACTGCTTTAAGAATCAATAAAAAAACCATCTCAAACTAACAAAACTTCTGCTTTTTTAAGTAGTTTTATAATATAAAAAAAATGTAAACTCAAACTTCCTCAGGAACAAGATTTGAATTGAAAGTCTCAGCTCCAGGAATTAAATGTGATTGCAAGTTCAATCTATTTTAGGTGTTAGGTGTTGGAGAAGTTAGCCTAGGAAGACGACGGTGCTATCGATTCCTGAAGTTTTTATACTAAAAAATTATTTTAAAAAGTAATAACTTCATTTGGGAATAACTTTCTTACTGCTTTCTAAAACAACTTTTTAGTATGAAATTTTTTTGAACTAGAAAATTTTTTAGTAGAAAGTTGCTTTTGTTTCAATCTAAGTGAGTAAAGGCGACAAAAGTGATGATTGATGAGCGCAGTCATCAGCAAGTGTGACGCTTCACTTGAGTGCTCAAATGGACTCCGATCGCCGAACGGATCGCGTCAATACAATCAGAGTATCTAATTTACCGAAGAGAGGACCACCCACAGTCAAATTGAGTGAAGACAGTCAAAATCGAAAGTTTACAAACATGAAGATGTGCGACATTGCCCAAACAACATCAGTTCGTGGGTCCTCAACATTGCGTTCAAAAGGTCGAAAATACCTAAGAACAACTGTATTATTGCTTGGGTTCTTTACACGAGCGTACATGCAAAAATGGAGTGGATTTCAAGGCAACAACAATACTAATTTCGAGATGAATACTCACAAATAAAGGATTACGAGAAATGAGAGAGCCTGTGAGAATCAATGCATGATATATATATATATATATAACGCTCAGTATTTCCCACATACACATCCCACTTCTCTTCATTCACTGAAACGAGCCCATATGCACTTACAGGCTAACAGGAAAATTTTGCAATTTTTTTTGAGCAGTTACTCTTGCAACGGATGCACGCCTTTTTTGGCATGGTGGAGTAGAAGATCATGATCATGGTATTGACCGACACCGACCATGTACATTATTCTTGACGTGGTGGGCAGGCTTAGACTCCAAAAAATTATTCTAAGCAGTGGAGACGTCGGGAGGTTGCCGAAATTCAGATTGACTGAGAACAGGACTTAAAGCAAATTATAGCGAACCGAACTTGCAATCAAAATCACAGGAAACCGAACCTAATGCTTGAAATAAACTGTAATATGCAAAATAATAAAGATTAAATACAAATATGTGAGCAAGGATAATTGGTAAACAATGAAATTGCAGGGGATACAACTACCTAGTTGCAAGCAATAATGCGAAACACTTAATGGATGCCATAACTTACAAATGAACAACATGAAATTTGTAATGTTCATATCAGTCCACTTAACAATCAATGACATTCAGTTGCAAATAAGTTTCACAACTTCCCTTTAAACATAGAAGTGCACACAACATACTATCTACAAACAAGGTTAAGAAATCTGCAATGACTGCAAGCACCTACGAGCAACACTAGAATATTTGAGCGCACACAACAGCCTTGCTATACGAACCAACAAGTGATTTGTAGCAACACTTGCAAGAAACAACAGATGACTCATCATGTATATAATAGCTAGCATACAAGTTAAAATGACAAACTCGTGGTGAACATGACTTGTCCACAAGTAGAGAGCGTAAACTTGAAATGCACATAACAGTCCTACCTACAAACAATGTTAGAAGATTTGCATTGAATATAGTTCACCTACATATGATAACCAATAGCTTTTGAATGATTACTGCCTGCCCTAAGCAATATTAATAGAGTTTGGTATGGCATGACAACTTGCTTGCAAGAAGTAACGAGTGACCCGTAGTGCAACACTAAAGCTCACTAGCAAGCAGAAGCAAGAAATTCGTAGTGCCAAGTCACATACTAAACAAAACCGCTTGCATGCAAATGACAATGATAGATTTGTGGAGAACAATGCAGCTTAATTTCAAGTAAGGGCACCTACTTGTATTGTCTATTAAATAGATATCTCCTATGAGCTAGCTTGAATGATATGATCACATAGAGGAGGCAAAGTAAACTAGACAATATTTCTTTTATACATAAATGCTTTCATGCTATCAAATCCGCAACATTCCTATAAGCGGACAGAAGGCGTTATAACGCCCTTAAATGGAATTGCGGTCATTTTTCAACAATGATCATTCGTGCAACTGACCATATTTAAATATTTCAAGAATACCCCTCATGCATTAAAATGCATGCTAATGTGTTTAGAATATACATATGCACTTTGCAGATGCTTCGAAAAGCATGCAAGTGTACAATACAAATACATCATAAATGCATACAGTATGTTATGAGTGGATATGTTAAGGGCATTCTCACCTAACATATAAATGCACCAAGTGCTTGTACATTGTTACATACAAAACACATTATGTAAGCATACCATTTAATATGCAAAATATGTGACGTTGTGACAGCGTGTTACATTAACATGTAATCAAATTGTGCATATGCTCATCGCAACATGTAAATGAATTATCCAGGCACACTATCCAACATGCAAAATGCATTAGGCAAGCATACCATCCAACATGTAAAATGCGTCATATAAGCACACTATATAACATATAAAATACACAATGTCATAGTAGTGTCTTATGCCAACATGCAATTGCACATCCAATTCAGTAGGAGATGCCCTAAAGCAGACCTACCGCTCCATAATTATAAATAAACCCAGCCGATGGCATTGTACAGAAGATTTGGATTCCATTATTTACATTTTTTGGATTTTTTGTTTCGCATAAACGTAAAACATGCTGTCTGCCCAAAACAGTTCTGCGCCTCAAGTCACTGCCTCGTACCAAATTTAACGCAAATCAAACCAAGAATCTGCACCCCTTGAGAAGCCCAATAAGTAGAAAACAACAAATATAGTTTCCTACAAAATATTACAAGGCAGTTGCATTGAAGACTCTCAGAAAAGTATTCCTCTCTCCCATAAATTGAATGCAACCGCATTCAAGAATAAGAATTTACAGCACAAACGTAGAAAAACAAAAAAAAAGTAGAATGGACGTCATAAAAAAACTAGGATCGTATACATACACAAGGTTCTCTATAATGCAGCTGGCTCAGTGGATGATGGAAACGACACGGGAGCTTCTGCTGTTGGTTGTGGAGTATCTATACCTGCTTTAAGAGTATGTGAAGTCTCTGTAACATCTTTGAGGGTCTGAGGAACCTCTGTGCCTGCTGGAGTCACTGAAGAATCTGCCTGTTTAGGAATCTGCGAGCCCTCTCTCAGTTCTGTCGGAGTCTCTGGTATTTCATGAGGTGGTGCCTCTGTACCATCCTTCGGAGCAGCTGAACTGCTTGGAGTGTCAGAAGTTGACACTGAGTTGGATTGCTGTTCTCCGGGCGCTACAGATGGAGTTGGAGTTGTTGTTGATGGTGCTTCGAGCAACAATGGCTTAGTTGGCTGAGACTGGTTCAGGCTTAGTGGAGGGGGGCCAGAGCCAGGTTTTTTAATAGTAAGGGGAGGAGCTGATAAGGATGCCATGCCTGGAGGAAGGATTTCAATGGGAGGCTTCTTTGGGGCTTCTCCTAGAGTAGTCAGCTTAGGGTCTTCCAGAGAAGCCAAGAATGCAGCAGCTGCATCGGTTTTGACGGTGCGTTTGTGTTCAAGTTCCTTCTGCAGCATTTCATTCCATGACTGGACTAGGCTCCTCAGTGTCGGACGACCGTGGGCCTGGGCAGAAAAGGGAGCGATGAGCTAAATTTTTGGAGAATTGCTGATTAGACTAAACAAATGAAGGATCAGAGAGAGTTTTCAATCTTAGGCTTCATTTGGGACAGCTTTTTTACTGCTTCTAGAAAGTCGCTTTAAGAAGCAGGAAGAAAGCTGTCCCAAACGAAGCCTTAATAAAATACTGAATGCTAAACATATGAGATCAATTTACGTACTAAAGTTACATAAAAAAATCAATATCACAAGAATTACAGGAACCCAAGGATTGTGAGCTAGATTAAGACGTTCTACATCACAGATTCAGTGAAGACATTCTAACTGAAAACAATGGCCTTCATCATCATCGTCATTAGCCTTATCCATTATCCCAACTATAAAAAAACACTTCTCTGAAGTAATTAACTACCCCATTAAACTCAAAACTACCTTGTATTAGATGCAAAAATCTCAACCAAGATTAGTTTTATGGGTTCATAGTAATATATCAGTATTGATAAAAGAAAATGTTAGGGATATTGAGGTATACTTCTACTTACATGTGCATGAAGGACTGCCTCTGCAAGCATACCGGTGTCCTGCCATGCCTTCTCCATGAGTGCATTATCTCCTAAAACTGCAGCAGCAAATGCTGCTTCACGCCCATGGCCAGCTGTAATCAGATTATTCACCAATCCCTGTAGGAAATATGGCACGGTCAGGCATAAAACCCCTATTTAATCGAGAAATCAATCTAAGAAGTGTCAACAGTATGATTATTTACTCAAAAGAAGGTGAAACATTAGACAATAAACAATTGATAAATATATCAATGAGAGAGAGAGAGAGAGAGAGAGAGAGAATCAATTGGCATTGGTTTGCATGGTAAACTGCACAAAGCAACCAACCTATTATCTATAATCAGTAACTTTCATTAGCAGCCTAGGGCAAATTAAAGAATCATCCATCTAGCACTGGAGTCGTGCTGTATTTTCGTAAGGTAGAGGTTTAAGAGTAATTGATATGGACATCAGCAAGAGATTCCAAAATGTTTATCGCCGGAAGCATCGTAGATTGATGGCTACGATTAGGAGTCTTTATTTTTGATATATGTTATGTATTAGTTATTTTATTTGAGTTCTACCGTTTACCATTCTTTATTATGTGTTGTGAGTTGTTACCCTGAGGGCATTTCTGTCTTTTATCTTTCTAGTTGTTTGGAAGGCCTATATATAAGGTCTTAATCTTTGTATGAGGATTATTGATGAATGAAATAAAATTTTTGTTTTCACTCTAGAGTTTGTGAGTTCTTGAGTGGTGAAGTCCCAAGGTGTGGGCAAAGAAATGCCCACCAGTCGTCGGTCGAGTCCGGAGCTCGTGGTCCTCCTCCTCCTCTTGCTTCACCGCCGGCCTCCCCAATTTCCCTCACCCGACGGCCACCCTTTCCCCTTCCTTTACCACAACTGCCGAACAACCTTTCCCCTACCGGCCCCTTCCCACCTCCCATTAGACCGCCGGCCTCCCCTCCATTCTTCCTCCCACCGGCCAAATTCCCCTTTTCCAATCCCACCGCCGGCCAGCCCTTTCTTCGCCTCTTAATGTTGATTTTAATCACCATTAAGAACCACCTAATTTAGCCTACATAACTTTGGAAAGATTTCATCCAATTTGAAATTAAAAAACTTTCCTAAATTAGCCAAGTTAAATTAGTAAAGTTTTTCAATTCAAATCTAATTTAAAATTAAATTAGATTGGAAAACATTATCCTTTTCCTAAATTAGATTAATGCATTAAGAAGCATTAATTTCCCTCCCCATCTCCCTCTTTCTCTAAGCATGTTGCCGGCCCCCTTTATGAACCCTTTCCTATTTCTTTTCTCTCTCCACATTAACATTCCCTAAGTTTAGATTTGAAATTCAAATTCTAATTCATAATTCCCTGTGGGCTCCGAAAATTCGGCCGGTTTCCTATAGGCGCAAGCCCCTATAGTTAATTACTTAATTACCCCTCCCGATCACGAGAGAGAACTTTCGATTAAGGCTAGTCGTCAATCAGATACGTATATAATACGTGTTATCTGGCATATAGTAGCAGCAATGGATTTGAGATTGGAAAGATTGGATATTGGTAGAATTTGGATTTGAAAATTGGGTTTGGATTTGGGAAATGTTTGGAAAGTTTGATATTTAAAATAGAAATTTCACCATCGTGTACTTAAAGCAGATGGTGGGGGAATGGATGATAGACCCGATCAAGATCCCATGGTTCCGTCGTCCCGGGCCATCGTGATCCCTGGTCTACTTAGTCAGAGGAGGTAGTCGACCCAACCTGACAGAAGGATCCTTGTCGGCAGCCATGGGTTGCTTCGTCCAAGGGGACCTTGTAGACCGAGGTTGAATGTTTGTCTAAGGGGACAAATTTGAATCCACCTTAGCTTACAGAGGGCTTTGTGCCCTATCGATCATATCCTATTGATTCATATCTCAAGGATTTAACGCCATTAAGGAGCGTATTGGCTCTGGCCATAACCGCTATCTGTGGTGCCATTTGGCGGCAAAACCACTCGGTTCAGAGGGCCCCGGGTCATAACCGTTTACCTGCAGTGCCATTTGGCGGCGAAACTGCCGGTTAGAGGACACGTACCACGTCCTTACTGGCAAAAGATTGTTTGAGAATGGATCCTAGTGATATTTTTGACTAGACACTTGGCTCTTTGTGAGCTAGAGTTTATTCGAATTTATCCACCTCGACAAACTGTTGCAGAGGGTGGATGGATTTTGCTTT